CAGAACAGGAACCTGTTGTAAAACAGCAATTATGCTGAGTCAGGCTTGATTTTTAATAATCTTTTTCTGTTAAATCAATAAATCAAATCAATTTATTGATGTGAATCGATGTATTTTTCCACGCTTAATCGATATATCAATTTAATGATTAATGAAGTAATTACATCAAGGCAAAATAAAAACATGAACATGTCATATGCTGGATGTGGATTAATATATCGATTGCAGACTTGAGTTGAATTTAAATCGTTTCATGACAGACTTTTTGAGATAAACATTCGGTATCCAAATGAATCGATATATCGTATCGTGATAAAGCTGCTGATTTACCCCCTTAGTTGTGAGTGGAGGACATGATTTGAAATACGACAGTTGTGTTTTGGTGCTTCTAACAGCAACACACAATCTTAAATCTGCTGCGAAGCTTCTACCTTGTTTCTGCATTAATTATTCAGTATCCAGTGACTCGCACATCAAAGGCCATCAGTGTTATTCTCCCTCTGCTCCAGACTTTAAAGAATCCCAGATAATCAGCAGCTACATCTGCCAACATGTCTTTACTTCAGACACTCTGTAGGTTGGAAACTGAATTTCCTCAGAGAGATGTTTGTGTTAAAAACTGGCTAGCTGAACCCTGAAAAAGAGCAGAAGCTGCTGGAAACATGTCTCCAGCCTCCCGGTCCAGCCCTCTACATCTCCCTCTAAAAGCAGCTAATTAACCAGCGGGGGCCGTCTAATTGACGTGACTTTGCTCCGGCTCCTCTGGGAGAGGATCCGGCTCTGTGAAGGGTTCGGCTCCAGCACTCAGAGATCAGAGTTCACCAAGCAAACAGAGGAAACCCAAGTGAACATTTGAGTTTCGAGAAGAAATTCTCACGGGTGGAGTGGAAAAGATACTGGAAGCAGGAGTTTTCTGAACTGTCCTTTCAATCCAGCAGATCGTTAGCGCCGAGAGACGAGGCAGTGAGACGCCCCGGCTGCTAAACTGTTCTGGTTCGGTCTGTTTGTCCTGCAGCGGTGGTGGTTTCAACACGTTTTCTGTGTTTTTTTATCAATTACAGAGTTCTGGTCGCAGACATTTCCCAAGACGTCAGACACCCCGGAGAGAGCAGCGAGCGTGTTTGTGTGAACGAGTGTGCAGATGGGTGTGGGGTGGGGGCTTGTGCGGACCTGCCTCTGAGCTAAACTGAATTTTCCCACTGAGAGCTGGATTAAGGACCAGAGTAGATTAGAGCACAATGAGGAAAAGAGGCTGGATGTGATGATGATAAGAGATATTCCTGCTGCAGGAAGTCGCATCATTTCATTAAAGAAATGGAAAACATTCCTGCCAGGTCCTGTTAACCACACAGGAAGTCACGGCGTTGGGGTTTTGTGGTATTTTTATCATTCATGTTCAGTTTTCCATAACACCAGTTAAATTTGTCAGGTTTTAACTTATGGTTTTGTATTCAGGGCTTTTGTTTGTTTTGATTTATTTATTTATTCATCTGTTCTGCCAACACACCTGCTTCATATCTGAGGCCGAAGCTTGGTGGTCGGTGCTGAAGTCTTGTAATCCTGCAGGTTTCAGAACCTTCCTGTTGGTCCAGAGTCAGGTCTCGTAGTCTTGGGTCTTCTCTGGGGTCTCCTCCCAGTTGGACATGTCCAGAAAACCTCCGTAGAGGCGTCCAACCTTACTAATCGAACCAAATCAACTGGTTCTTCTGGATGTGGAAGAGCAGCAGCTCTACTCTGAGAACCCTTCGTGGGTTCCTCAAACGCCATCTTATCGGGGTGGAGGAGATCTGTTGTTGGGGTACTCTACACTAGGGTCTCCCAAGGCAGATTGGTCCTATGTGACAGGCCACTCAAACAGTTATCCAGAATTTTTTATTTACCGTTGTTTAACCAGGCAAGTCCCGTTGAGATCTCAGATCCCTTTTTCAAGGGAGGCCTGGGCCTGAAAGCAACCTATTGTACATTTTTTGGGGGTTGGGGGAAACCGGAGTACCCGGAGAAAACCCACACAAGTACGAGGATAACATGCAAACTCCACACAGAAAGACCCCAGGTCCAAATCGGGGATCGAACCCAGGACCGTCTTGCTGTGAGGCGTCGGTGCTAACCACTGAGCCGTCATGCTGCCATCTGAGAATACTCAGGTGGACAGTAGACACCAAGAAGCTTAATGTCTCTCGTATAAATGTGGGGTCCCACCCTGGGGCCAGGTCTGGGAGAGGGACAGCGAGTGCCTGGTAATTGGGGTTCCAGACTTGGGGTCCATTCTTAGCCTGAATGAGACTGCCTTCCTGTGGCCCACCACGTTCAGAAGGGGACTGGCCCGTGGTGCCACGTAGGGGTGTCCTGATACCAGTGTTTTTACAAGTACGCGTACAAAATGCCCCGATACTCAGAACCAACACCAATATCGATACTTGGATCAATATTCCACTGAATGTGTTAAAAGTTTACATTTCAAGTGAAAAGTTTGCCAGTTCCATGCTTTAAGAAAGTTATACAAGTTAAAAGAAAATCTTATTTTTTAATTTTAAATTTATTTTAAAATGTTGTAACAATATACAGTACATCAGTAGGGGTTAATTACAGTTTTCTGGCGATCTTTAGAAAGTCTGATCTGTCAATTCTGATTTTTGGCAATCAATTTTTTAAATAACTAACACTGTCRGGTGTTTAAAGATCATAATCAATTCAATGTTCCAATCTTATTTTATTGAAAAACACTAAACTTCAAAACAATACAAACTTTTTTAAACTGGACATTAGGTCGAGCTCATAGCAGAGCAAAAGGGGACAATGGCTGATTTTGCTCTGATGAAGGGCTATCCATCGGGTCCACCCCCTCTGGACCCCCATCCAAGACACTTCTGGTGATTTCTGGTGCTTTGCGTATGTGAGGGGGGTCATACATGCTTCTGCTATGACTTATCTAGATTGAAGTTCTAATAGCTGCAGAGGACTCGATCACAGAAACAAAGAGTGACTTCTCAGACAAGGAAATCCAAAGAACTGGTTTATTTACAGCCGAGGGAGTCGGGTTCTGGTAATTGTAGAAGGAGCAGGTGAGGTGAAAGAGAGTGAGCAGGCAGGCAGAGGAGCAGGCTGGAGCTAATCCTGCAACCTTTGCTTTTCAAGGGAGAGAGTGGACCGGGACGAAGGTGACGTCCAACACAGAACTGACGGTTATCGGAGTGACGCAACAGGACCAAAGGAACCACAAAAACACCTTTGGATCGACGGGTAAATAAGGTTATTCTCTTTCAGAAGCTCTAAACAAACCTAAATAAAGCAGGATCATAAGAGACGCCTTGTTTTGAATGAAAAGAACAAACATGTTTTTAAAATTATAGTGTAATGATTAGGTTCTAACTCAGTAAGTACTCTGTATCAGTGAGTACCCAAACCAAAGTACTCATACTCGATTTGACAAAAACTGGTATCAGGACACTCTTAGTGTCATAGGTTTACCAAAACTACAATTAGAGACCTGCTGTATTAAGGGCTCGACACACAGGCAGCGACAAACTACAGCGATTAACGGCTGTCATCGCAGCCAGGGTGAAACCCGACACACAGGACGTGATAGCGATCGCAGCGTTGCAAATCGCGCTCTCAGATCACTTGTCTTCACAAAATTTGATTGGTTCTTGACTCTGAAGGCGGGTGTGCATTACGGACGTGTAAACTAAACAAATCTTGCAATGCTAATGATACTGAAAAACAAACACACATCAAGATACAGTTTTATGAGGAAAAACTTACCATAAACTTCACCCTGGTGCCAACAAATTCCCACAAAGCTTTTTAGTAATCACTTGGTGAAAGTGTTAGCTAACGGCAGTGTGTAGCATACTCTCCTCTCATTGGTCAGTCAATGAAACCCTCGTTGATTGGTTGTACGCTAAGCGACAGCGACAAAAGTTGAACATTTTTCAACTTTCATATGTCGCGTCGCAAGCTCGCGTGTGCACGTGTCTACGTGTACGAGCGTGAAATTTCACATGCACTATTTTCGCCGGTCGCTTAGCTGGAGGAGGGCGAGCGATTGTCGCCTCACCGCACAGGCTCCATAGGAAATGAATGGAGAGCGAGCGACGTCGCCTCCCGTGTGTCGAGCCCTTTAGCCACAAGTCTCTGCCTTTTGTCAGTTTTTCTGTCACGTTTCTGGACTCCTGAAGATTATTATGTTTGTTTGAAGCATCTACTGTRGAGCTGAAGACAGAAACTAAAGACTCTGAAGAAACCGGAAATATGGGGCCGAGATTCTGAGCTCTGGTGCCAGATGATACAAAGAACCGAAAAGATAAAAATCTGATTCAGGTTAAGTAAGGAGCGACGACAGTGCTGCATGTTTGAGTCGACTGCAAACATCATTAAAGACATTTATGTGGAGATTAGGTAGCGATATGTGCCTTCGGCTGCACAAACCCATCTTTTCTGCGTATTGTCAAAGCGAAATGAAAGAACGTCATTTCCTCAGGGAGATGGCCGCGTTTGAAACGTATTAAAAGGGAACGAGCGGAGGCCTAAAGTGATGTCTTTGTAAGGAAACGACTCATGTCCCCTCCTGCTGAGACGTTTATTTCAGGACACGGTCGTGTGGTTTCAGCTTTTATCRGTTATTTGTTTATTTGTTGTCTTGTTTTGGGATTTCTGTTTGTAACAGTTCTCTTTGAATGGGGTATTTTTTTTTCCTTTTGTGCCGTCTTGCAGAGAGCTTCAGTGTTTGTGGAGTCGCCCTGGTGAAATGTGGATGAGACCAAACATGACTGGACCTCTGCTGTCACAAAGTCCTGCTGGGTAAGACTCGTGTCATCGGATGTCACTTCTTTTATTTCGCCTTCCGCGCTCAGAGAGGACAGACGGTCTGAAGTTTAAAGTAATTTTATCAGGGAAAATGTATTAAAACTCGTTTTCATCAGGACTTTGGTGCAAAAATTCAACCAAAACATGACACCGTGGTACTATGATCCCCAAAACAACTGAGATTTATGAATAAAATAAACATTACAAACTGAGCTAAATCAATTCAAATGGAAATTTTAAGAATGTCTAATATTTGAACATTCATAAGATTTCTTTTCAAAGCTCAACGGAGTAATTCAAAACTGACTTGTACAAATTTCATTTACAAAATATTGATGTTTTGATATTTAAACTCTAAGAGTAAAAAGAGCCAACATTTAAAAGATAAAGTTGCTGCAATGACTTGTTAGTGTCACCGTGTTAAACAGACATCTCTGTCTCTCTCTGAAAGCACTTTTATTAAGACAGGCAGATCAAATCAGTAAAATATAAGTTGTTTTGAAAATGTTTGAACCGTCAGCAAGCATCAAGTCACCACAGGTGTCTACGGTCTTTTATGTAGGAAATATTATAATAAAAAAAACTTTCCTTTCAGTTTTAAAGAGGAAAGTCAGAACTGAAACGATGAAAGTCTACGTAAGTTTAAAGGTAGATTTAAAGTCCATCAGATGTGCTGAATTCTGTTCTGGCTGCTATTAGTCGATCTTTTTCATGCAAACATTTTATACTAAAAAGAAAGCGCAGTTTTCAGGCTTACCAGGAGTTCTGGTAAGCCCCTCCCATTGCAGCAGATTTCAAGTGCAGAGGGAGGAGTCTTGGTAAGCACCACCCATTGCAAGAGACATCTTGCGCAGACAGAAACAACACAGCAAAAGTCAGTTTGGCAAAGTGGATATTGATTTTCATTTGATCCCAGAGGAACTGGAGGAAGATAAGGTATTTCTGTTTTTAACGGAGGAGAAGCGCTAAATTTGTGACAAAAAGAACACCATTGTTTCCGACAGAGCAGTAACACGCCCCTAAGCTGCCCGGCTGCCTGTGTCTCCACGCTGTCTCACCCAAACTTCCTTTTACAAATCTGACTCTCTTTGTAAGGTTTGCGAGGACAGTTGTAAAGATGGCTGTATTTTCTAACAGCCTCAGCCAGCTGCTCTTTAACAAAACAAGAGTGGTGCCGTTTTGCTGCTTTTCCACATGAACACGCCCAGGAATTTCTAACCAATCACACAATACCTGGCCCATGCCCCTGTGAGAAAGACTCTCTGCTTGTGGCGTGTACACAGAACGGTTTCTTGGGGTAAGTTTCCTCATGCAACCACATCAGTGAGATTTTGACAGAGTATGAATCTGTTTTTTTTTTAAACCAAAGTGAAGAGCTTGAGTTTTTATTGAGGTATGTCACACGACCTGTTGGACGTTTTGAGTTTCCGATTTTAACCTGATATTTAGCATAACCATTTGAGAATAAAACCTCAAAGTGTTTATTCTCCACACTAAATCCAGTAGAACACAACATGCTTTAGTTTCCTTTTGCTTTTATTTGTTTTGTAACAAAAGGTTTTGCTGGTCTTCATTTCTCTTACCATTTTTGTACTTTTACTCTGAGACAAACCCTCATTTCATGCAGTAAAAAAATACACTGAATATCTCTTTGGCTCCAAAAGTTATAAATTTACAAACATTTCATTTTACTCTGGAGTGTTGAGTTTTGGATGATGTTCTCAGCTACTATAACTTGTTTTTTCTTGAGGGAATAACTCTCTAACAAACTGTGATGCTGTCAGGTTCTTATACAGTAGGTTTGGTTAAACCATGAAATGTTTAACACTCGACCCTTCAGTACAGGATTTTAAATTCTACCTCAGGCAAGAGTCAAGTTTGGACAAGTTTTCTACCTTTCAGGGATCAACTGTACTCCTCAGTGTTGGTTTGGTAACATTTCCCCCATTTACAGTAACAACCCGGTTGCAAATGTGCACGTAGGTCTTAGCGTGTTTATATTGCTAAWGAGTAGTTACCCAAAGTTTATGCATACCAAAGTAAAGTGATGGTATTTCCCCGTGCAGCCTACAGTTAGGGGCATCTGTAGCTTTGTGGTTGGAGAAGTCGTCCTCCAATGAAAGGGTCAAAAGTTTGACTCCTGGCTCACATATTCAAATATCCTTGGGTAAGTTGAGGAACCCCTCATTGCCTCTAATGTGAGCCCCATTGGTGTGATTGTGAACTAAAACCCTGGATGAATGTGTGTTGACGGGTAAATGAGGGTATAGATTAGGTTGTAAAGCACCTTGTTGAGGCTGGTTGATTAGAAAGGTGCAATAACTACAGTTTACCTGTTTTGGTTTTTGATTGGGGTCATGTTTTCTCTGTCCTTCACCAACGAGCCAAGACTCTGGTTGGGTGTTTAGAAGGGGACGACCGACTCCCTCCATCCTCCTTAGATCTTTCCCAGCCTCCACGGAAACAGGTTGTGATGAGAGGAGGAATGAGTTAGATGAGGAGTTTAGGTATCCGGTTTTCTTGTTGGTACCAAGTACCAGTACAGTACATCTTGGATATACTGGTCTTCAGTAATGAGGGTGTTGCCTTGGTCTGTCAAGCTCAAGAAGGAGTTCTGTTCAAAAGGCAAAGCTCTGGTTTTACAGGTCCRTCTATGCTCCAATCCTCACCTGTGGTCAAGAGGTTTGGATCATAAGAACCAGATACCGGATCCAAGCGGCTGTAATTATCTTCCTTTGTGAGATGGCCGGGCAGCGCCCGGGCTCAGCCCTAGAGATACATTAGCTAAGAACTCCTGTTCTTAGCTAACAGGATGCATTTCTCTGCCCTTATGAAAACAATTGCATTTATTGAAGTGCTGGTTATCCCATTTTTTGATCCTTCAGAACCAGGCACCCATTTACCTCTCTTTGCCTTTTTATAAGGAAATTTGAGTTGTGTGCACTAAAAAAAAAAAATTCTTACCAACAAGTATGACCAATTTATTAGTTAAACAAACCCATAACACCTTAGACAGATCTAAGACAAAAGCTTTTTCTTTTGGTACTAACTGCTCGGACTCCATCAACCTCCTCTCAAACTCTCCTGTTCAGCACAAACCTCCAAACAGAAGGTGATGTTTCTCTATTTGGCACTCCACTGAACTGAACATCCTTCAGAGTCAAATCTTATCTTTAAGAAGTCAGGCATGCAGGAAGAAACCGGTTTGAATTCAGCATGATGTTTCGAAGGTATGTGGAAAAACTCAGTCCAGGTGAAGATGTGGGTTTGTTTATTAAACATGCTGGTGATAAATGAATGTCTGAAAGGTTTTCGCCAAAGTAAAATGGGTTGTGATTTTTGTTTGGTATGAAACTATTGTTGCATTTCAACATAGTAAAATTTTTATTTCCTGTTTAAAGTGCTTGTTCAGTGTAAATACATCTAATCTAAAAAAGTTATTTATTTCAAATCATTTCATAAAGAATACAGAGTAATTTATTTAATTTAGACTCAAAGGTCTAAATTAAATAATTACAGTATAGCCAAACAGGACATAATCATACAAAAAAAGTGAAAATTGTGTGTTTATAAAAAAAAAAGTGAAGTAAAATAATAGAACCATTAAAATAAATTACTTAATAATCAAGAACTACTATAAAAAGGGAAACGTGAATTTTAATTTAAACAGATTAATATGAAAATACTGAACGTGTAGGCGTTTGTGCATTACCCAGGCGGAAGAAAAAGCAGTTCCCACGATAATGATACAGACCATCAGCACCAGAACTACCAGCTAGACAGTGTGCCCACCAGAAAACATGAAATGACAGATTTGTGACATTACTCTCTTATAAAAAAATCAGGTTCGGTTTCTTTTAGACAAAGTGTGAAGGTTGTTTTTGCTTCGTGAACAGCCACATCAAACTGCTTCAGTTGAGAAATGTTCTTGTAAAAAAAATTGTATTTTTCGAGAAAAATGAAACGGCAACACATTTTGCCACGACTCGACGGTGAATTTCAGGTGACTTTAACTTCAGATTTCTTGTTTTATCCAGACGTCAGTGGAGATTTTTATGTGAGAGAATCTGAAGGAGGATCCTGCTTCACAATAACGGCACGGAAATATTCCCCCGGCTGCTTTGTTCAGCTACAATACATGCCAGATTGCTTTGACATTTTGAAAAGCTTGTGTGATTTCTGTTATGATGGGGATGAGTCATTAGCAATATGCAACAACTAAAAAAACCCAACTTGGGAGATTCTGGGAGCGACAGCATGACGGTTTCTCTCTCCTCCACCCACAGTGAATCCTACAACAAGCTGCCTCCAGACGACTCCTCAGCTGTGGGCGGCTGTTTGTTTGATGCTTTTTGGTTCTGACTGTCCACGTGGGTCTCAGTGCCTCCACTGGGACCCTCCCCTCTGGTCTTCAGAACAGGCATCTTTAAACCTCTCTGTTGGTTGTGGAGGCCGCCTGCTGCGACTGGACCCGACAGCCTGACATTAATGGTTCTGAGTAAGTCTACGTACGAATAATGACGGTACAGAACGTGCCGCTGCAGAGATGAAACAACGCTGTAATTATGTGCTATCGTTTGGAAAGTACAAACGTTTTAACTGGATGTTTGTTTCCTCGCACTGGTCCACATCACTGTACGGTAAATTAAATTTAAGGTGGAGGAAGTAAAACGGTGTGGGTTCTCTATGGATGTTGTTCCGGTACTTCGTGTGCTACATGGCTCCCAATACGCCTCGGTTTCACCGATACTGCCAAAATATTGTGTCTGTGCTTCGTGTTGACTTCATGTGATATATTCAAATGACTTCATTAACATTGACAGAACATAGACACTGGGAAACAGATACCAGAAAGAAAGAAGAAAGAAAGTAGTAAACTCACCGACTACAATTTCCCAAAAATGCTGCATACGTAGTCGCTCCCAAGTTTAAGTGGCTTGTCGCTCGAAAGCTGGATAAGATGCCGACGTCTCCTCTGATGATGAGCGTTAGTG